GTGCCACCCTGCCTTGGAGCCAGCTGATTGTAGACTGAAACCTCCACAAACTGTGAGCTAAATAAACCTGTCCTCCCTTAATTTTGGGCATTGGGTATTTTGTCTCAGCAATGAGAGAAAAGTAACCAAGACATACGCACTATTTTTGTATTTTGTATTAACCTCAATCCGTGTCCCTCAATCTTCCCTGCCTCCTAGCCAGCAACTGGCTTTAACTATCATCCTGATTAAACCACCAAGCAATCATGTTTATCCCTTCCCTGGAAGGCAGCACAGTCAGACACCCCCATTCTCCCAGTCAGTAAGAAACAAGAGCCATTTCTCCCTGCTTCCTGAACCCAGGGCCTTTGTACTAAGCTAACTTCTAGCCCTTTTTTTTTTTTTTTCACTTTTTATTTAGATGTTCCTCATTTCATGACCTACTTGTCTAATGACTGTTCAGAGCGACCGCCGAAGCACATTACCCAGACTGACAAGCCGCCCCTGGGACTTATCACCTGTCTTTTTTTTTCTTACAGTTCTGTACATCTCCTTTATAGAAACTCGTGTCTTTTTTTGTACAGTACACTTTGTTTATACTGTGACTTTTGCTGATTGTACTGTACAAGTACAGTCCTGTCGTTTTCTGTTCTGTTATATACGCTACGGTGCTGCATGTTAGAGTTAGGCAAATAAAAGCAAAGTCACAAAGTTGGAGTTTCCTCTGACCATTTCTTTGTTCTGAATATTGTAATGTACATGCTATACATAATTCCTCGTGTAGTCACCAGTTTATTTAATGATCTAGTGGCAGGAATGGAACCTGGTTCATAGACAAGGAATTTTTGCTTTTGTTTTTTGAGACGGGGTCTCACTAAGTTGCTGGGCTCAAACTTTTGTTCAATCCTCTGGCCTCTGCCTCCCAGAGGGAAGATCCCCTTTTCAAACTGCTAGCCAGCTGTCAATCAAGGGTGTTCAGTCGACGCCCTTGCACCGGGCCACCTTTCCTGGATGGATCCAAGGCTTCCCTTTGTCACTGTTTTTCCCCCCCAGTGACTTTCTGAAAAAGGCACCAAGGAGGTACGTGCGTTGAGATGTTGCATGTGTGGATACATTTTTATTCCACTTTCTCTTTGTGACTGTCAAAGAAAAGGACAGTAGTTTGGGCACCCATGTGGGTTAGGGCCTTGAAAGTGTTACTTGCTGCGCCCCTGGCTCCCCACTGTTGGGTGTGTTCAGGCTTCCCCTTCCCAGCCTTCTCCGACTGCACCATGAACACACACTGCTGTGCTGTTTCCACCTCCTGCTTGTGCTTCCCGGCAGCCTCTGAATGTAAACGCTCTTCCTTCAGTTCTCCAGGAGACCCTAGAGTGTATGTGAAATAAAGTCTCTGTCCTTTCTCCCTTCTGTGATTCCAGAAGACCTACCTAACGGTGTTCTTCTTGGACCAAGATTCTACTTTCCTGAACTTGCCCTTTATCCATCTTTTTTATCCCCTTGATCTACTTTTTGAAAGATACATTCTTAAATGCCTTGACAACTTATCTACTGAAGTTTTATTTTAGAAGTTAATTTTTAATTCTAATGGCTTTTTCTTGTGCTTACAGATCGGTTTTACTGCCACTCGATCCATGCTTTGGATATGCAGCGTTCTTGTTCTTCCAAACAGTAAGAATTAGAAGTAGGTCCATTTTTAAAGTGTGCTTTCACTTTCTTTATTATCTCTATTTCCTTTTGGTGCTATTTTGTTTGTTTCTGTAAGCTTCTGTTTGTTGTATTGCATTGCTTTCACTGTACGGCGATCTTTGAAATTCTGTTCATTTTCAAGAGTAAAGCAGCCTTAGATATCTGGAAACACAGTGTGCACACGTGTGTCTGTGTGTGTGTTTTATTCCAAGGTTGTTGTGTGATGAGTTTCTTTTCCTGAAGAATGCTCAATAATATGTATCTGGAGGTCTTTTCTCTAGGATTCTCCAGATTCCCAAGAGAACTCAATAATCACATCTGACTCCACAGGTTTTGGGGCCCAGTAAAAAATTAAAAGTTCAAAAGTCAGGAAAAGATGGGCATGGTCATGCACACCTGTAATCCCAGCACTCATAAGGCTGAAGCAGGAGGATCGCCACAAGTTCGAGGCCAGCTGAGGCTACACAGTGAGTTCAAGGTCATCCTGAACTACACAAGGGGACCCTGTCCCAAAAAAATAAAGTCAGGAAAAATTTCAGTTAAAAAGTACTAGAAAGTGGGGCTGGGGATTTAGCTCAGCGGCAAAAGCGCCTGCCTGGCAAGCGCAAGGTCGTGAGTTCGGTTCCCCGTACCAGAGAAAAACCAAAAAAAAAAAAAAAAAAAAGTACTAGTAAGCCTTTTTCTTTGAAAGATAAGTTGTGACTCATTGAATATAATGGGGTGATAGAAATACCTATATATCAGCATAAGCTTACAAACTGCAAAAAAATAATATTTTGGTGCCATAATTTTGGGTGATATAATAAGTTATAATACCCTAATAATATCATTTCTTGGTTGATAAAATTTTCTGGCTTTCTTTTCTGCAAAGCATTTATTAGGTCGTGAAAATTTATATTCTGAGCAACTTCCTTTCGAATCTGTAAAACTGAAAGTGAGGTCCCTTGTTCCTGAGAAATGCAAGATAGCAAATAATTTTTTATAGAACTTGTAAGAGGGGAAAAAATAAGTGGGAAGAATAATGAGAACAAAGGCAGAGAGTGGGGAAATGAAATGATAAAATAGAGGAAGAGCAAGTCAGCACAGAAAAACTGTATCAAGAAGAGTCTGCCAAGCACGAAACCGTAAGGGACAACATAACGTAGGCTACAGACGTCATAAATGGGAGAGAAGAGGGAGCAGCCAGAGACATGGAAGGATTTTCAGGAAGCAACTCTCGGAGACCCATGCGGACTGAAGTGGTCAGTACAGAAGAAGAGATAGAAGAAGCAATCGATGGGCTGGCAATGCCCAGAGATGGGCGACCTCAGTCACTAAATCTCTAAACTGAGGGACCCAAACTTCAGGAATGAGTAGGAGGTCAAAAGCAGAGGAAGTCAACACCAAAAAACACATTCTGGAAATAACAAAAGGAAGAAACGGAGAAATGCAAGAAGTCTGGGGAATGGAAGGGCACCTAGAGGCTACAGTCTGGCCCCTTCATTTAGACCTGAGGAAACTGAGGCCCAGAGAAGTTAATCATTTTCTTTACTGAACCTGATTAGCAACTGAACTTAGGCAGAAAACCGGTAGAGATAAAATGGTAACTCAGGTAGGCTCACAATAGAGGGAAGACTCTCAGCGGCACAAGCGCCTGCCTGGCAAGTGCAAGGTCCTGAGTTCGATTCCTGGTACCAATTAAAAAAAAAAAAAATCGAAACTCAGATTGTATGGGGATTAGTTGCTAAACATTTAGGAGGTTTAGCTTAGAGGGAAGACTGTCTCCCAAGATGATCCTAGTTCGTTCCTCAGTTTTCACCCAGGACCTGACCTCCTTCCTATGGTATCATGAGCCCATGGTCCTAAAGTTATTTTCAACACATCTGGTTGAAAACTATAACTACAATGCTGCGCTTTCTGGAGAAAATACAATGTTCTTGGTGTGGGAAAGAGAAATGGGTCTATCACACTCTTTTAGTCATGCAGGAATTTTATATCCCTGACGCCTGGAAGACAGGAAGGGCTGCTCACACTCAGGTGGAAAGGCATCCCTATAATAACCCTGATGACACTCCACCCTGCCCCGCTCCAGAGATAACAACCCCTCGGTAACTCCCCACCCACGGAAATGGAAACAGTAGGGCAAAGACATTCATTAAGGAAAAAAAATCACCCAATTATGGATAATTTGCAATGAGCTGGCAAGTGGCATTCTGCAATGAGTAGCAGAGTTTATCCAGAAACACCCTAATACCGTATATATAAAGCAAACGAACCTGAGCAGGCCACTGACGGTCAGACCTCTGCTCCAGTGTGGACACCATGTCTGTGCACTTCTCCTCAGCCTCCAAGCGGCTGGACTCCCCTGGGCGGTTCTCCAGCGGCAGTGCAGGCTTCTCAGCTGGAAACCACTGTGGAGTCCCAGGCATTGGAAGCGGCTTCTCTTGTGCATTTGGGGGCAGCTCCTCAGCAGGAGGCTATGCGCTGGGCACGGGAAGTACCCCTTGCGCTGCCTTCGCTGGAACTGAGCACGGCCTCCTGTCCGGCAACGAGAAGGTGACCATGCAGAACCTCAACGACCGCCTGGCCTCCTACCTGGACAACGTCCGTGCCCTAGAGGAGGCCAACGCCGACCTGGAGCAGAAGATCAAGGGGTGGTACGAGAAATTTGGACCTGGTTCTTGTCGTGGCCTGGATCACGATTACAGCAGATACCTTCCGATCATTGATGACCTTAGGAACCAGGTAAGGGACACAGCGTCGAAGGTTATAACACTTAGCACAGAATTCACACACACACACAAATGTGTATACTGTCAAACCAGGGCTCTGGGCTCAGCTTCTAAATTTCAGCAGCTCATTATCAACATCAAAAATAATTTCTGTTAAAACTCTACCCTTTGAACACGACCCTCCCATGGGTCATGGTAGTAGGTATACACATGTGTTTCTGATAATATGAAAGCACCAAACACCATCTGAGGTCTTCAACTATACATTCAAACTTTCCAACAGAACGAGTCTTTTGGATGGCAGTAGCGGGGAATATAAGAGAATCCATAGTTCAAGTTCCCCTTTTCAAAACAATCCTCCTGTTATTAGACACAGATGCTAAAAAATATTACTGTAACTTCATAGGTAATGTTATTTCAAACAAATTCAAATTTGTAAACCTATTTCTTTACTCTCAACTAACTCTCCGCTTATCAGATAATTTCCGCCACTGTGAGTAACGCCAGTGTGGTACTGCAAAATGACAACGCAAGACTGACAGCTGATGACTTCAGATTGAAGTAAGTAGCCCCGAAGACAAGGTGACAAAAGGTCACCGAAGAGCTCTTGTCTTGAGGTCAGCTCTAGTCTTCATTTATGTTTATTCACTGATTCACCTTAAACCAAATGCATATTCGCACAACTTGCTGCTGAGGAGCCTTTTTAGTTGGGAAATTTATGCGGGGTGTGTGGAAGGGGTACCCCAAGGAACGTCAAGGTCCCAAAAAGAAGGTTTGAATAATTCCACTCCTTTGCTTCAAGGACATGTATTTAACAATTGCATTGTGGGAAATCTAACAGAAGTGTCCTGAATGGTTGCAATACTCTCACTCTCAAAGTCTGAGTTTTATGATGATCTAAAAAGCAGTGTGATGAATATCGCCTGATAAATGTGTGCCAGGTATGAAAACGAGCTGGCCCTCCACCAGAGCGTGGACGCCGACATCAATGGGCTGCGGCGAGTCCTGGACGAGCTGACCCTGTGCAGAACCGACCTGGAGATCCAGCTGGAGACCCTCACCGAGGAGCTGGCCCACCTCAAGAAGAACCACGAGGAGGTAGGCACCTACCTTCCCTCCCTAAGTGAAAACTTAATTTCAGATGACAAACACCATATATTAAATTAATACCAAGAGGAGTTTATCAACTTGTCCTGATGACTTAGATTATTTAAAATGTTTTTGTTCATCCCTCTGCAATGAAACAAGCCCCGCAGAAAAGCTACGGACCCTAGCCACCTGACCCTGGCCACCTGGCTCCTTTAAAAAATAGATCCTAAAGCTGGGAGTGGTAGTACAAAATCCCAGCGCTTGGGAGGCTGAGACAGGAGGATTGTGAGTAAGTTAGTGGTCATCCTGGGCTACAGAGTAAGCTCAGGACTGACCTGGGCTACACAATGTTATTTTTAAAAAAAAGAACAAAGAAAGAAAGAAAAAGAAGAAGAAATCTTAATGTGGTTAAACAAAACTCTTTCAGGAAATGAAGGCTCTGCAGTGCGCGGCCGGAGGCAACGTGAACGTGGAGATGAACGCGGCCCCAGGTGTAGACCTCACGGTGCTGCTGAACAACATGCGGGCCGAGTACGAGGCGCTGGCGGAGCAGAACCGCAGGGACGCCGAGGCCTGGTTCAATGAGAAGGTAAATCCATGCTGGTGAGGCAGGGCGGGGCGGGGCGTGCCACCTGCCCCAGGTGTTGCCCAGGTTCCACCCAGGTGCTGGGGGGGTGGGGCAGGGAGGAGAGGCAGCGCGCATGCCTGACTTGACCCGCGCCTTGCAGAGCGCCTCGCTGCAGCAGCAGATTTCTGAAGACAGCGGAGCCACCACCTCCGCCAAGAACGAACTTACTGAGATGAGACGCGTGGCGCTAGCCCTGGAGATTGAACTGCAGTCCAACGTAGCCTTGGTAAGTGCCGAGTCAGAGGCAGACTGGCTTTGGAAGTCAAGATGAAACGAATGAAAGAACTTCCTTGCAGACAGTATATTACGTATTTTAGATTTTATCCATGAATGGCGACAATGACGTGAGACATCTGCATTTTGCATATACTATTCTTTGCCTGAAAACTATACCGACATGCCAATAACTGTGAAGCAATAGAAATTAGCCAGCGCAGCTGTGTTAAAGCACTTGAAAAAGAAAAGATAGTTTTTCCCTGACTCTTCTCTCCCAAGTAAAACTACCAAAAACCGCAGTGCATGGAGAGCGGAAATGTGTTTGTACCTAGTTTTTTTATCTATCTTTCGGCCACTTAATTGTGAGCACTTGAGTTTCTTTTTAAGGGGCATAAACAAGAAGCAAATAGAGGTGGGAAGGCTGATTCTGGAGCTCAACATGTGTCATGATAATAACCACCTTTTTCATGAAGGGCTGGCGTGGCAGTTTCACCCACGCGTTAGCCCACAATAAGCCAGAGGCCTGGACAAGGCAGACTTAAAACTCCTGTCATTGTCTCCAAAAGAAGCGTCTAAGAAAGAAATCAAATGATCCCCAAAGCCCCACGGCTGGGTATGATGGAACGAGGAGATTTCTCCAAATTTCCAAACTCCCAAGTCTCTGCTTTTCCCACAGTGGGTAGTAAACCGCTAGAACTTGTCCACAAAAGATGCTATGAGGTACATACATAAGGGCTTACATAAAAATATTTGGCATAGGAAAGGGTAAAATACCCTCCTCTTCAAGCCATGTAAAATCTAGCAGGTGTTCCCTCTGTGGATCTATATAAACCCATTTGGATTCACAAGCCAATGAATCAGACTATTAAAAGCCTAAAGGATATTAAAAATTCTACTTCTACAAAGTTGGTGCAATCAACAGCTACAACTTTCGTGAGCCGAGGCTGTCGAATGGTTAGAAATGAGGTAGCACAGGCTAAGGGGACTTATTCCTGGGGAAAATGGCAAACTGTACCCCAAGAACCCCCAAGCACAGAATATATGAGTATGGGAGAGAGGGAGCTTTAGATTGTGCCCCAGGAAGAAACAGCTTCATGTTTTGTGACACTCCTGGGCCCCTGGCAGTGTCAGCTTCTAATGGTGTCATTCTGAAGCAAGAGTGTGCCAGCTCATAAAGACAGCGATTGATATTGAACAGATGGGATCTGTTGGGTGCGTAGAATGACTTGCACCTTGTAAAATGCACTCCCTTCATTGCCTTTTAAAGGACCAGGCTTTTTCTGACATAGCGCAGTGACACATTCTACGGTACTCTTGTCTTCCCAACCCACAGAAACACTCGCTGGAGTGCTCCCTCAGCGAGACCGAGGGCAACTACTGCTCGCAGCTGGCCCAGATCCAGGCGCAGATCGGGGCCCTGGAGGAGCAGCTGCACCAGGTCAGGACCGAGACCGAGGGCCAGAAACTGGAGTACGAGCAGCTGCTGGACATCAAGGTGCACCTGGAGAAGGAGATCGAGACCTACTGCCGCCTCATAGACGGAGACGAGGCGTAAGTACTGCTTCCACTAACACAGCTGGAGATTACTTCCAGTAAGATTATACGGAATCAAGTGCAAAGGATCTGTGACCCAGATCTGTGTAGATAAAACCCCTTCTGGTACTACTTCATCGTCCAATGAACGCCTGCCTGCAATCCCTGGTTCCACTTCCTCAGCAAAGCTCACAGTGAAGTAATTAATGCAAAATCTGTTCTTACAGATCTTGTTTCAAATCAAAGGGCCAGAGAGGACCAGGAAATCAGATAAAAGGTGAACACAAACCCCGCAAAGCATTCCATTTTTTTCTCACATATGTTTCAAAGGATGAGTGATTTTCCACTTAAGAGTTTCATAAATTCTAACCATTCCCATGCACCATTTCAGAGGCACCTAAACCCATCATTGTTAAAACAGTTGTGGAAGAAATGGATACTCGTGGCAAAGTGTTCCCGTCCAGAATTCAAACCACCGAAGAGAAACCCAGCAAAATCAACAAGAGTGAACAGAGGGTGCCTTCCTGAACCGCACCCCACCAAGAAAAGATGGCCCCCTAAATTAAGACACCAAATGTAGCTGGTTTCCTAATTGAGAGTCCTCTGATTTTTCTCCTTTTCTTCCAATGAACTGTGACAAGGTCTTTGTAGAATAGTAACATGTCTTTGGCTTTCAGTATGGTGATGTTTCAATAAAAGATCTTCCTGTTGCAAGTTATCCTGCCGCGTTCTGATCCCTCTTTGCACTTTAAATATATCCTCCCGTGGGGGCTGGGTTTGCCTTCCATTTCTTCTGTTTAACTTAGTGGTCTTCAAAGTTAGGGATGAGTTTAACGCATAAACTAGGTGGAACCATCTTTACACTTCTGTAAAATGTCATCCTTCCATCCCTCAGTACTTACTGAGCACATAGTACGCACCAGATGATGAGAATCAAACAGTTAAAAAAAAAACAACTCCTAGCCAGGTGTGGTAATGCACACCTGTGATCCCAGCACTCTGGGAGACTGAGGCAGGAGGATCACAAATTTGAGCCCAGTCCACATAGTGACTGACAGTTTTGTGACTTTAGTAAGACCCTGTCTCAAAAATAAATAACTTAAAAAGGTCCCTGAGCTCAGCACACTTATGGAACTGGAAATAAAAAAATTTAAAACATCAAAGACATCCTAACCATAAAGGAAATGCTATTGGTGGTGATCTTTTCTGAAGGTGTAAGGGGAAAGAAAGATGTACGTACAGGGATAAATGGAGAATCGCAGAGGGTATTTAAGTTGTCATCTCAGTCACTCCGCTGTGCGGGTGGGTGCTCGCTGGTCCTCTGGTCAGCTTTTCCATCCAAGACTGCAGAGCAATGTGTCTCTGAAGCCAAGAACATTTTGAGTGAAACATTTAGTGCTTAACACCAATGAATCTATTTCTCCAACCAGCGGCTCAGGACCTCCTAGTGGTAGGAGGAGGTGTAGAGTCTGCTTTTCTGAGAAGGAGAGAACATGGTTTCCTAACAAACAGGCTGTTTCTGCTGCGGGTGCAGCCCGTGTCCTCCGGAACTAGTACCTATACTGAGGCCCGCAGAAGCGGTTTGCGTCGGTTGAAAACCAGTTTCCAGCTGCCTTCCCTCCACGCTCCGTATGAGCGTGTAAACACCTGGGGGGACCCAAAGCAAATACCCTTGTCACTTACGTTTCTAATTCACTGGCCCTTGTACCCTGTACTCTTGTGTCAAAACCAGGAGAAAACACCCAACCACATGGTTCCATAGTTGGAAGTACTTGGCTTATGGCCTGTTTGGAGGATGGGTTGGAGTTTCCTTCCAAAACTAAACATATCCTTTCCCATTTTGTGTTGGTTTTGGGTTTTGCAAAGGAGAATATAATACAGGACACATATTTTATGAGATTATTTATAAAAGTCACCCAAAGAAACACATACAAGAGAATGCAGGAAATCTGTTCACACGGTAAGGACCAAAGAATCCAGCTGAGGGCCTGGATCCTGTGATAATGTCCTGCATGAGTCCAGCCGAAGACCTAGAGCTCATAACAATATCTCATGCAGGCCTGTTTCATGGATCTGAACTGGCAAGGCCCAAAGGTCAGTGGTGGAGTCTAGAAGGTCTGTGCCAGCGGGATGAAGGAGCCGTGCTAGCAGGCTGAGGCATCTACGTTGGAGACAGGAAGTGACGCTCAAAATAAGAACCAAAGCTCCCCCGAAAAGTACCACAGCCATCCTCAGCTACAATGAGGTCCTGAGCTCCTCCAAAGATGGAGAGTTCCCATCTGAGTTCCCATCAGGAAAGCCAATGCAGCAAGCTTCTCCAGGAGACTGGGCTGTGTACTATCTTCCCCTCCAGAACCAGGAAGCGATGCTCAGAGTGAGGATCAGAGCTCCCCCAAAGTGAACCAAAGCTATTCTTAGTGCCAATAAGGTCCCGAGCTCCTCGGAGGATGAAAACAGCCGAGTTCATCAGGAAAGCCAGCATGACAACTCCTCCAAGAGAACCGACAGCTCCTCACAGCTTCTACCAGCTCCCAACAGCCTTCCTCCTTCTTCTCCCGTTCTGCCTCTTATGCTGCTGGCAACAGTCCTCAGGTGGCCTCCCACACCCAGCACCACGCTGGTTAAGTTCAGCTGGGGGTTATAAGTTGACCACCAGTTGTCACCCACCGCACCTAGGATCCAGCAGTTGCTGGGCTTTCACTCTTTTATCCAAAGGAGCTGAAAATGTGTCTGCACAAAACCCTGCACAGAGATACTGACAATCGTTTTATTCATTATTTGCCAAAATCTGGAAGCAACCCACGATGTCCATCAGTAGATGAGGGGATAAATACACCGTGGCAGACCCAGGCAGTGGAGGGTCATCCAAAACTAGAATGAGCTGTCAAGCCCGGAAGAGACATAGAGAAGCTTGGATGTGTGTCACTAAGTGAACGAACATAATCTGGAAAGGTTATGCGCTCTATTGTTCCAACTGAACGACATTCTGGAGAAGGCAAAGCCATGGAAACACAAGATCATGTTTGGTTGGGGGAGGAAGACAGAGGAAGCAGACATTGAGGCCAGTGAAAATGCTCTATGATACCATAAGGGGAGACACACGCCATTATAGATTGTCCAAACCCATAGGATGTACAGCACGGAGAGTCAAAACTAAACTATGGGCTTTGGACAGATACGATGTGTCAGTCACGTGGGTTCATCAGTTGGAATGAATGTGAGTAGCTCAAGTGGCTGATGGGGATTACTGATGAGAAGAGAATTAGCATCTGATCGTGAGCGTAAGATCTCCTCATGAAAAACTCTATCCTGAAATAAGGAGGCACTAACACAGCATAACTTAAAGGTTTCACTCAATTCAGTGCCTTCAAATACCTATCCTACATAGATTACGTCACACTCTACTACCTCGTAGATTCCCAAGAAGTGATAAATGGTATGCTGCTGGATACTGCTTTCTTACTACAAACAAAATAACTGCTCTTGGGGAACAAATACGTAGATAGAAGGGGCCCGGGAATTTATGGAATCTATTCTCTACTTCCAGGAAGGACTAAAGGCTACCTAAACCTTTCGAGTATTAGTTTGGAAGTCTCTGATTCAGCGAATCCAAGAGACTTGCCCTGTGAATAAATGGTGAGGACTTTCCAGTCGGGGTTAAGCAGCCTACATTCCTGCCACTTTCATAGACAAGTGGTCTGTGATCTACGCTGGCACTTTAGTACCAGGGCCAACTCATCTCCAAAGTGGCATTAATAATATATGCTTAACTTGTTTCACAAAACACGATAAGTTAATTAGTATTTACAAGCTATCTGAAGATCAATAGATTATGTTAATAATACTTTGCAGTCACATAATACTTCTTATCTGAGAAACTCCAGCTTTATAAACTAGTACACTGACCACATATTGTTTCCCTTATTTTATTCATGGGAAACATAGGCAAAAGATTAAAACTTGACCGGGCTGCAACAAAATCAGTAGCAAGTCTCTGAATATAAGCTATCTTCCTTATCACGCGCTATTCTAAACATGAGCTGAGCATCTGAATTAATATATTCTTTTCAAATATTTGTGGTATTTTTAATATTTTCACATTATTTGTAACTATGTGGATTTTTAAAAATTCATACCTTCCACTCCATGAGAAATTCCAAATCCTTCCTTGATAATAACATAGGGTCTTTTTCAAAGGATTCGCTCTCACAGCATCCAATCTCCTTGAAGAGAAAAATTCCTATTTTAAGATTAAACATATGCTGGATGTGGTGGCGCACGCCTGCGATCCCAGCACTTGGGAGACTGAGGCAGGAGGATCACTGCTAATTCGAGGCCAACCTGGGCTACAAAGTGGGTTCAAGACCAGTCTGAACTGCATAGTGAGACCCTGTCTCAAAAAGACAAAAAAAAAAAAAAAAAAAAAACCTGTAATCAGTTCAGGAATCAATTTGTAGCCCTACAAGTGATAGAGGCCTGGCCCTGTCTGCGGTGGCCACTTTATTATAATAGCATAAATAATTGACACTTACAAAATGTCTGTGCCCCTCAGACGGCCTTATAGTTGTTCATTACTGTATCTGGTGAACTCTTATTTAAGACCGTCCAGTGCTATTATTTTCATTCCCCAAGTAGGGAAATGAAGCAGAAGACGGGCTAACTTCCCCGGGGCATCAAGACAAGAGAAGAAAGAGTCTGCCGCCGATGACGGCTAATCTTTTACTGAGATCCCATAATGAGGGGTTCAAAACCATCTCCTTCAGACACCCCACCCCCCACCTCTGATCTGCGACGCCCACATCTCAAAATAGTGCACTTTACACACATACATTTGAACTAAAGCACAGGAAACTATGTTTGATGCAGAAAAGCAAGCAATTTGGAGACTCAAAACTCACTGGCGGGATTATTCTACCCCTGGGCCAAATCAAGAAAGGGCAATAAAGATAATTCTCCCTCGATACCACAGATTCAAGAGGCTTAGTGAGACTTCTGCAAGACTTCTATTATTTTGCATTTTTCAATTCTTTTTAGAAAACCAATTTAAATTCCCCACCATCAAAAACCACGAGGTATCCAGGGTCTCTGGTTTCAATGTGAAAGAAGACACAACACAGTGGGGATGAAGGAGATACAGTAAAACCTTGGATGGCAAAGAACTTGTTCTCCGTCTGTTCCACAAGATGAGCAAACATTTCTAATCAATGTCAACGTGATAAAAGAGTGATATCTTGCACTACGAGTAGTATGTGATGCTGAACGTCACAAGATCACAGCTGAGCCAGCGGTTCTCTTTCTTTCCCTCTCCCCCACCCCCCGTCTCTCTCTGCAGGACTGTTGGTAATTGGTTCCCGAGAGCAAGAGGTTATGGAGGAGATCTGAAGTGCCGAGGAGGAGAAAAAGGCAGAGGAGCCCTCAATTCAAATGAGATTAGGGAGATATGAAAATGTGGGAAAGAGTGCAAAATTGTGTGGGAAATCCCCACCCGAATAAGGCTGCAGCAGTGTAAGCGATGAATCTGTTTAATGACAGTGCAACATCACACTTCTGCAAAGTCCTCAAAAGGAAGCAAAAGCAAGTGTCACTGGACAGGTTCCCTGTTAAAGCTGTATCAAAAGAAGAAGCCATTGAGCCAATAGGCAACAGTAGAGAATCAAGCAATTGGGAGACTCAAAAGCTCATCAAATGGATTATTAGTGATAGTGATTCTATTAGTGATAGTGAAAGTCCCCTACACAATAACCTTCCTCGCTCTTGACTCCCTCACACCAGCCATGAAGGTTTTCAAAGGTCAGTTTAGGTTGATTTATTTCTTTATACTTTGTATTTTCTTCATCATTTTGTATTATATTACAGTATTGTTTATCATTTTATATGAATATTTTTGAGGTGTGGAGTGAGTCATCTGAATTTCCATTATTTCTTATGTGGAAATTTTCTTTGATATATAAGTGTTTGCATTATAAGCATGTTTCCGGAACAAATTATGCTCATAAACCAAGGATTTACTGAATTCTATATGCATCTATGGGACAAGAGTAGTAAAAATTTCTTGTCTGAGTTATTCCTTGTCCTATGGGAGGGAGGACTGGACACTATTCCAGAGGTGGAAAGGATGGACGTTGACATCTTTTTGTAGAAAAAATCTGATTTCTTTTCTATCATCTGTGAGGCTGTGACTTAGAACCCTTGGAGGCTATGATTTAGCATTACTCTGCCTGGCACCTTTTTCATGTATAAAAAGCACCCTTGGGGCACTGTGCCACCTACTGGAAACTATTAAAAACCTCCCAGTTGTGAAAAACAACAATTAAGATGTGAGGGGTGTTTTATTACAGATCGGCATAGGACAGACTGAAATGACAGCCGAGTGCTATAAAAGGCTGCGGTCTGGCCTCTGCAGAAGTGACCCGGCCCTGCTGCTCTGCTGGGAAGGTTCTGGGCTCCGCTGTGGCCATGTCTTTCCGGTTCTCCAGTGGCTCCAGGCGGATCTGCTCACAAGCTGGGTCTGCCCGGCTGTCCAAAGGGGGCTCCAGCTTCGGGAGTGGGAGCACGAGTGTTGCCCCAGGAACAGAAAGCAGCTTTGCTTGCGCACTTGGGGGTATTTCCTCTGGAGGAAACTCCTGCCAAGGTGGTGGAGGGTCTGGCAGCAGTATCTGCACTGGTTTCCTTGGAAACGAGCAGGGTCTCCTGTCCGGCAATGAGAAGGTGACCATGCAGAACCTCAACGACCGCCTGGCCTCCTACCTGGCCCACGTGCGCACCCTGGAGGCAGCCAACGCCGAGCTGGAGGGGAAGATCGAGGGCTGGTACGACAGGTACGGGCCGGAACGTTTCCCAGGGCTCGGTCAGGACTACAGCAGATACTTCTCAGCCATTGAGGATCTGAAAAATCAGGTAGGAAATACAGACTTGCGTCCTTTAGCCACAGACTTCCAGCGGGCGTCACTTAAAGCAGAGAAAATATAAAATGGACTCTCAGAAAAGAATGGGGTTTAGAACTGGTTCACTCTATAGTCCCAGTGCTAAGAGCAGTGCCTGGCCTTACAGATTTGTAAAATTAAATAAGGAAGGAGAAATAATTCCAAAATTCTTGTAGTCACATTGCTTTTATATTTAATTCATACCTTTTGATCAAGCAAAGTCGGAATATCCATGCGGCTCTTAAGCACTGGTCATTTATTATCTGAAGAATACCCAGGTTAGTAGTGTATAAATTAATGACATTAACAGGGCTGATGTCTAAGATGAGAAGATACAGAGTCTCACCGAAATCAGGAGTGTCCTTGGACTTTGGACCCTAATCGTTTGGCACATTCTCCCCTGTGTAGATTATCTCTGTGACGGCCTGTAACGCCAGCATTATTCTCCAAAACGACAACGCCAGGCTGACTGCTGACGACTTCAAGCTGAAGTAGGTACAAATAGTTAATTCCACTAACAAAGGTAAAAACTCTAAGGTGGATTGAGGAATATGTCTTCTGCTCTTCTCCCAGCTCCTCTCTTGCCTTTAAAACCAAAATGTTTTCATGAGACCCTACCAGATAAAGAAGTCAAATTAAACATGCCCTCCTAGAGAGCAGCCATGAATTTTTAAAATCTATTAATACTTTGTTCAACTGCTCAGCACATCAGAGGGCAAATTGGCTCCGAAGAACTGACACTTCCAAATGATCCTTACAAATCAGTAGGAATCGAAAAGTATTTTAACAGTTCACCGCTTCGGGAGACTTCAGGAATGTGTGCAGAATGTCACACCCTTCCACATGTGAAATGCGTTTGCAAGCTGCAGGTTGGCACGGCCTCTGATCACAGGTCTCAGGCGCCTCACTGACCTTTCAGGTACGAAAATGAGCTCAGTTTGCACCAGATCATGGAGGCCGACACCAACAATCTTCGGAGAGTGCTGGAGGAGCTGACCCTCTGTGCCACCGACCTGGAGATACAGCATGAGAACCTCACGGAGGAGCTGACCTACCTTCAGAAGAACCACGAGGAGGTAAGCAAGCCTTGGGCCAGTGTCCGAGTTCCCTCTTCCAGTCTACTGTTGCCAGTCAGAGCCCTCCCTTGAGTATTAATCCTGGCCCCTCCCCAGGAAACCAGAGCCCTCCAACGCGCCTCAGGAGGGAACGTGAATGTGGAGATGAACGCGGCCCCCGGCGTGGACCTCACGGTGCTGCTGAACAACATGCGGGCCGAGTACGAGGACCTGGCTGAGCAGAACCGCAAAGATGCTGAGGCCTGCTTTCGTGAGAAGGTACATCCGAGGCTAACTGCATGAGGGGTCTGCACACTGGATGACCGCGCTGGTCCCTGACCTTCGGACAATTCCATTCCAGAGTGCGTCTCTGCAAAAACAGATTTCGGATGACGCAGGTGCAGCCACGGCAGCCAGAAATCAGCTGATGGAACAGAAACGCAGTCTGCAAACCCTGGAAATAGAACTCCAGTCCCTCCTGGCTATGGTACGTAGGGATTGCCGCTGAACTGCACGGGTGTGCACACTTGTCCACTTTCAGTTACTATAGCAAAATACTTGGGGCTGGATGCTTCATGCTGGAAGGAACTTTATTCAGCTCACAGCTTTGGAGGCTGGAAGTCTACACAGCCTGACACCGGCTCTGACCATGGTCCCCCCTTAAATTGTCCTAGTACCTCCTAACATCACCACACTCGCTTACAACACATGGATCCATGGGGGACACGCTCAACTGAATCTGAAATATGGCAGTGTGTGTTTAATTGCACATAAACATGTGTAATAGAGGTGTATCTATAACTGGAAGTACAGAATAAGTACTAAAAATATAAAGTGTATTCAGTTTTTTTTCTTTTTTTCTTTTTTGGTACTGGGAATTGAACTCACAACCTCACACTTGCCAGCCAGGTGCTGTGCCGATGAGCTGTATCCCCGGCCTGAAGTGTGTTCAATATTAATGATTCCACCATAAACAAGACTTCTGGTGCACCCATCCCAAACCTTGAAAAATTATTTTTTTCAATGGAGAGGAAATAATGTGTGTGTGTGTGTGTGTGTGTGTGTGTGGAACTGGATATTGAACCCAGGGCCTTACATGTGCTAGGCATGTGCTCTGCACTTAGCTACACCCACCCATGGCCCTTTTTTAAAAAAAATTTTTTTTGTTGTTTTTTTTTTCCGGTACCGGGAATCAAACTCACAACGTCGTGCTTGCCAGGCAGGTGCTGTGCCACTGAGCTAAATCCCAGTCCCCTAAAATTTTATATATTGAGATAGGGCCTTGCTAAATTGCCCAAGCTGGCCTCAAACCTGTGATCCTCCTGCTTCAGCTTCCCAGTTAGCTGGGTTTAGAGGTGTGTACGACCACAGCCAGCTAAGAGGAAATTTACTTTTTAAATCTTACCAGTTTTGATTTTCAGTTGACAGTACTTAGACTGTGTATTTCCCATCTTGGGAACATTTGCAATATGAACATGTCATTCTCATTCTCACACCGAGGACCTCACTGGGTTCTTCTTTCAGAAACAGTCCTATGAACACACGTTGGCTGAGACCGAGGGAAATTACTGCGTTCAACTCCAGCAAATCCAGGATCAGATCGGGACGATGGAGGAGCAATTGCAACAGATCCGAACGGAAACAGAAGGCCAGAAGCTGGAGTACGAACAGCTGCTTGATATCAAAATGATTTTGGAAAAAGAAATTGAAACATATTGCAACTTACTAGATGGAGAAGAGGGGTGAGTGTTAGCTTGGGAAAAAAATTGTATATATGCCAGTGTCGTGGCATAGAATTTCCTGCTGTAAAGATCACATCGGTGTACTTCCTCGAGAATGTATATTATTACATTCAAATGAAAAGAAATCTGGCAGGAAGTAGCCAGAAATTTAAAACTCAGAGTATATTAAGTATTTTATATGTAATAACAAAAGGACAATTAAATATGGGCTATTTAACATGTCTAGTACTCTACTCCATGGGAAAATTGCTTTCTGTGACCTATATTTAAGCACATTTCTTATAGTAAGTCATTTTTTGGGCATTGCTGGAGATTGAACCCAGGGCCTCGCCCACCCTAGACAAGTGCTCCACCACCAAGCTACACCCCCACCCCAGCACCCTCTAATTGAATATCACTTAACCGGCCACCCTTCATGGACTTTCCATTAAAGCTGAACAATGTGACTAAGAAGAGTTAATTGGAGAAGCAACATAACTTTTTAGCCAAGAACCAAAAAAAAAAAAAGTCTTAGGATTGCGAATTGAAATTGTGAATTTGATACCACACGAATTTGAGCCTGTGGTTTAGCCTTTTGGACCATAATTTCATCACTGATAAAATGGGGGTGAGACTCACACCACACTGATCACTGGTGTCGGCCATGGTGCCTCCCGATGTGTGTAAAGTGAGTGTGCGGGGCCGTGTCTCCCAAGGCATTCAGTGATCAGTGCCTGTGACTAAGTACTTACCATGGTCACCCCACCTTCGCACTTCCGAGCCCCGGGTCAGCTCTCCACAGCCAACTCCCGCGAGAACCCAACCGCGGTGGCGCCCTCTCCTTCTTGTTGCACCATCCGTTTTACACCTAACTGACAGTACTTCTCACCCTATGTCAGGGATACTTTTTTGCATGAATCTGTTGTGTTTCCAACCATGTGAACCACTTGTGTTTCTTAGCTCTACCTTTTCTAGAGCACCCAGCTCAGCCCTCCAACCGTGTTCATGGGCCGCTTGAACAAAAAGCCGCCCTAAGAAAGAACTCAGCGTCGTCACATTGTCAGGTGGGAGAGAACTTGGTCCCAGGGAAAGTCCTCATCATAAACATCCATTTAATATCTTTTTTTCACATTGTTGATGTCATGGAAATCTTCCTCATATCCCTTAGACATGAAAGCAGTTTAAATCTTACTAAAATTAGAACAAAAATTGTATTCCCAGTTCCTCGCGATAGGCTCATTGCTGAAAGAAAAGCAGCGATTATGTACTCTTTCCTTCACAGTACGAGCAAAGCGCCGTGTTACAAGTCAAAAGGAGCCAGGCCTGTGAATTCCGGAAATCAAGTCAAAGGTACAGAAGGGTTTCTGTTGGATGGTCACTAACTGGTTAGCTGCATAAGATTTGTTGCGGAGTTTACCTGTAGGGAATGGAGAGGTGAGCGGTCCTGATAACAGTTCTTAATAGTTGTATCTTATGGAACAGGTGTGATCAAATTGTGAAATTACTGAGATGAGGACTCGGTCACTCCAATAGTTTTCTTTTTTTTTTTTTTTTTTTTTTTTGGGACAGGGTCTCGCTCTGCAGTTCAGGCTGGCCTTTTGCTCACTTTGTAGCCCAGGCTAGCCTCGAACTCGCAAGGATCCTCCTACCTCAGCCTCCTGAGTGCTGGGATTACAGGCGTGTGCCACCAGGCCCGGCTCTAATAGTTTTCTTACGCAGCACATATTCTTTTTCACAGTTTCGGAGCTTGATATGCAGTATTTTATCTTAAAGCACAAAAGAAGGATGAGTTGATGTTTTTGAAAAGCCACCACTCACTCCAAGCGCATCCCTGCCTGACTCTTAGTTTATTTTAACCCATTTTTCATGCGTGCTTTCAAGCACCCATTCGTCTAAAAAAATCAGCCAAGAACATAAGAAGGATGGACCCAGCTCTTGTTACACACTGACTTCAAACGCTGTGTTATCTATTAATCGTCTATGAGATCGCAAAACAAAACAATTTCAAAAAGCAGACCGGTCATGTCTGAATACCTTGCTGTTTGTTTTTTATTTTAGACCTAACAGAAGAGACATTTGTCAAAACGATGGTGGAAGAACTAGACCAGCTTGGCAATGTCCTCTCCCTGAGAGTCCACTCGGTTGAGGAAAAATCCTCTAAGATAAGCAACATCACAATGGAGCAGCGAGTGCCTGCGAAAGCTCCCTGATGAGGGAAGAGTCGTTTTACAAACAAAAACCCTCTCTGCCAAGCCCCGTGGGTCAAATCACCCTAAAAGTTATCCCTTAGATTTATCTTAAGATCTGTGTTCTTCCTCTTCCTTTCCCCTGGTTTTTTTCCCATGTAATTCTTTTCACAAGAAGGAAAAATCTTGCTCTATCTCTAGTTTTGTCTTATTTTCTGGGGTCTTTTGCCACCTCATTACAATTCTCCTGTTGCAAGGGAAATGCTTCTGTCTATAAATATGCATCTTTTTTAATTTCCACAGTTGAGCTTAATGTAGACAATCTGAAGCACCTGCTAATAAAATAATATCCGTCATTCAGGGTCACATTTGCCTCAGTTAATAACAGGATAAGTTGGAAAGACCCCCAGCCCTAATCTCTGGTCTCAGATCTGTCCCGGTTAACTATGTAAATGATCTGATCTATTTAGCTGCCGGCATCTATGACTGTGAAGGAAGATTATACCCATTTAATCATTAAGTCACTTTCACCCTTGAAATGCCTAGTGAAGGTGACTGAGGAGCAACTATTAATTCATTGACCCCGAGCCGGGAGAGCTGCTTTTCCATTTGGTTAACACACGCACCTCTCTGCCCTTACCACGGTGACTGGACGAAGCAAACACAACAGGAGCTGCCAGTCTTGTTCACATCCACCGCCACGCAAGATGGGGTCTAACAGCCTTGCCTAATTATCTGGGGAAGTGCAGCTGGGGCTGGACAGCGGCGAAGCGCTGAGCCACAGAGGTTTGGTCACTTGGGTGGAATACGGCAGGGAGCTCTGGAATCAGCTGGATTCCAGACTTGTGTGATAGAGCATCACCAAAGCGTTCTAACAGACTGCTGGGCAGACAATGCGGGATTCAGAATGGCCCGTTCATGCTGAAGTGCACCACGTCCAGGTGCAGAAGGAAGACGCATCGCCAAGCTTGATTGTTGCTATCTCTTGCTCCCATGGAAGGCAGCTGCCCTCCGCCTAAAGGCAGTTTCTAAGACGGAGCTACAGCTGCAAGTCACCGTTGGGGGGACCTTCTTGTGATGAACGGCCCCAACCATGGTGATCAAGGCTATGCTCTCAATGGTACGGAGCTGGTAGGTTAGATGTGCCTTCACTGCAGAGCTATAGTGACACTTCTGAATACTGGGCCTCTTCGCTCATCTTACTGAGTGAGCTCGCCCTTAGTTTACATGCACTCATCAGTTTCATCTTGATAAAAGCGAATGAGCTAGGTATTTTACCTTCGGATGAAGGAAACATAGTCAGAGCAATTAAGGAGTTTCCCTGTGTCTGAACAGCGGACGTGTGGTGGAGTTAGCTCGAAATCCCGGGCTCCTTCTCCCACATGACAGCCAGAGTCTCACTGACTTCATCGGTTTAGGGCTTTCACCGAAGCACATTCTGTTTCCTACTCAGATCCCACTGCCACAGAGACGGACTAGAAGCGGCGCACCCTGTGTGCACAGCAGGCAGTCGCCGCGGAGCACGGCTTCGCGTGCGGTTGGCGACGCTCTGCCTGGCGGCCACCTCCCCAACTCCTCTCCCAGCCCTTGCCTTCTGCGCCCCAAATTAAGACCTGGTCGGTGGATGCCCCCGTCCCTTGCGCCTCAGTTTCCCTCGTTATGTTTCATCCCCGTCTCTCACACCAACTATGAGATCATAAGGAGGCTCAGTCTGCTGGCAGTGGGAGGACTACAGCTCGTACCAGCCTCTCAGGAGCCTCGGCTACCGACCATCGGGCAAACAGCGCTGGGCTCTTTCTCTTGTAACTGCCGGTGCCAGCCGCTCCCGCCTGCTCCCAGCGGAGTTCCTTTATTTTCCCCAGAAACATCTAACTTCCATTGCTAAGAGTTCACTCTTTCCTACTTAAACAGATGAACTTGTCTACCTGTGTAAGACAGATTTACACTTAACACAAACAGAAACTATTACGCCCAAGGGCATGGTTTTAATGACTGACCATACTTCTTTTTTTTTTTTTTTTTTTTTTTTTTTTTTTTTTTGTCTTTTTGAGGCAGAGTTTCACTATGCAGTTCAGGCTGGTCTTGAGCTCACTTGGTAGCCCAGGCTGGTCTCAAACTCACAGCGATCCTCCTGCCTCAGCCTCCCGAGTGCTGGGATTACAGGCATGCGCCACCACTCCCGGCAGACCATACTTCTTGAGACAAAAATTCCAAAGTTTACCTATTCTTCCTTGTTTCCAAAAAGTCAGTGCGTATTTGCAAAAAAAAAAGTAAAATGAAAAAGCGGTTACTAATATTTGACAAATCTCAAAACTTTTATTGAACATCTTTAATTGCGAACTGCCAATTGTAAAACTACATATATAAAAGTCGTGGTAAAGCCATAATGCAAAAGAGAGAAGACTTTAAAAATCAGCCATGTGGGGAAAAAATGATTCCCTACAAATTACTGATAGCGAGAGTGCATACCAATTTCTCAACAAGAGCCAGAAGACAGTAGAATGATTTCTTCAGTGTGCAGAGAGAAATTCCAAATGATCAATTTAAAGTTATAAGATGTGCACAGTCACAGTAGATATTTTAAGAAGTAAAAACTTAGAGGCTGGGGATGTTGCTCAGTGGCACAGCACCTACCTAGCAAGCTCAAGGTCCTGAGTTTGATCACTGGCACCAGAAAAATAAAAAATAAAAGTTTAAACCACATGAAGGACCATTACACACCCAACAGCCTGGTAATACTTTTAAAATATTCAGTACAAATTATGCATTCTACCATGGAACTCTTCCTGAGTTGAGACTACTATCAACAATATTCTTAAAAACTTCTTACGTGTTACCGGTACAAGTGTGAAGTTAGTCAACTAGAAAACAAAAACAGGAATGGAAAAGTGACAAAAGCAGATAGAATAGCACTCAATGTACAAATTATGGAAGATGCAGGAGAAAGGAGAGGAAGAAATAGGTGGAATGCTTACGTAAAGAAATACTGTGTAAAGCTTCCAAAATCTTGGGAAGAACATGAAGAACGTACAGATTCATGGAATTGAAAGGACTCTAAGAAAGATCAACCCCAAGAAAAATACTCCAAAGCACACTATAACAAATTGTCAAAAGTCAAAGTCAAAGAGACAATATTGAAAGTACTATGAGATAAAAGACACATCACACAAGGGAAGCTGTTAAACTACTGGCAAATATCTCAAGAGCAACTGGAAGGAGGAGGAGGAGGCTATAGTCAGAGTGTTCAGCAAAAAAGCTGCCAATCATGAAGACAGCAAAGCTGTAGTTCAGCATGGAAGGAAAAATAAAGACATTGTCAGGTGAACAAAACTGGGGGGTGGGGATGATCATCACTAGGCCTGCCTTACAAGAAGTGCTACAGTGAGTCCTTCAGGTTAAGTGAAAAAGCTTATTAATGACAGGACAGATAGGAAAGTATTTTTTTAAAGACTCACAGAAGGGAGCAAGAGATGGAGGAGGAGAAGGGGATGAAGAAAGAATGAGGATGTATTGTTACCTGTACCGATCCCCACGAGGAATGTAGTTGTTAGGTACTGCAAACAGATACTGATAAAAATGAAAATTAAAAAACTCACTAGTGAAGGCAAATATACAGTTAAATATACAGTTATTTGTAATACAAATATACAGTTAAATCCAGAACAATAGCATAGGCTGGGCATGGTGGCGCACGCCTGTAATTCCAGCAGTGGAGAGGCTGAGGCAGGAGGATCGTTGCGAGTTCGAGACCAGCCTGGGCTACAAAGTGAGCTCAAGGCCAGCCTGAACTGCACAGTGAGACCCTGTCTCAAAAAGACGAATAAATAAATAAATGAAAAAGAAAGAAAGTAGGAATACAAGAGAAGAAGAAAGATACAAAGGATCTACAAGACAACTGGAAAGCAATTTAAAAAGTGGCCGTAGTAGGTCCTCACCTATCAGTACTGATCTGTGAATGGATTAAATTCTCCGTTCAAGACACACAGAGTGGCTGAGTGCATGTAAAAACCGTAAGTTGCCCGTAAGACAATCGCTTCAGCTTTAAGGATATACACAGACAGAAGCTGAAGGGAGGGACAGAGACATTCCACCGTCCATGCAAAGGGAAGCAAGACAGAGTAAGGGAAGTGATACTTAGATGAAGGGTACTTTTAAGGTCAAAAACCATAAAATTAAATAAAAAGGTCACCGTCTCATATCGGGAGGATGTAATGATTGCAAATATGCATGCACTCGGAACTCCTAAGTATATAAAGCTAATATGAATAGACCTGAAGGGGAAGATGGACAGCAATGCAGTCATAACGGGAAATGTCAGGACTCCCACAGAAAATCAATAAGGAAATGTCAGGCTTAGACTATAATTTAGACCAATGGACCTGACACAGGTGTGTAGGGCAGTACAACAAAAGTAGACTATGCCTTCTTCTCAAGGATTCAAAGCACACTCTCTAGTGTAGATCCTATATTAAGCCACCAAACAAGTTCTTCACAAATTTAAAGAGGCTGAAATCACACCCAGTGTCTTTTCTGACCACAGTGATGGTATGAAGCTAGAAATCATAACAGAAGGAACTTTGGAAATTTCACAAATACATGGAAGTTAAATGACACGTACCCAAATAATCAGTGGTCAAAGAACCAACTTTTTTTAAACCTTCAGACAAATGGGAGTGGAAACACATCATGGCAAAGTGTATGGGGTACAGTAATAGTAGCTGTAAGGGAAAAGTAGATAGTGATAAACACCCACATTAAAAAGAAACAGCTCAGACAAAACAACCTACCACTACACCTCAAGGAACTATTAAAAAAGTAAACTAAGCCCAAACATAGAGACAAGAAAACTAAAATTTGATTTTTTAGGAAGATAAACAAAATTGGCAAAGCTTGGCCAGAGAGAGAGAGAGGGAATCAGAAGTGAAAGTTAAGACATATAAATTATTCCACAGAAGGACACAGAATCATTAGACACTTTTATGAAAAAGTGGATGGATTCCTAGGAACATATGACTTGCCACACTGAATTCTGAAGAAATAAAATCTGAACAAACCAGTTCAGAATAAGGTGAATCAATCAGGAGTAGAAACTCTGCCCACCCCCAAAAACATCCAAGGACCAGACAGATAGCGTCACATCTAAATTCTGCCAAATGTGTCATGAAGAATTAATGCCAACTTTTGTTTAACTCTTCCAAAAAGTTGAAGAGGGGGGGATACTTTCAATCTTATTTTATGAGGCCAGTTTTACCATGATACCAAAGCTGAAGAGTTTACTTGACAAGGAAACTATCGACCAATATCCGTGATGAACACAGAGGCAAAAATTCTCAAGAAAATACTAAGTTCAACAG